TGAGAGCGTACAGCGCCGAAAGCGTTCAATGAGTCTGGCAGTAGAGCCTCGCCAGCTTGCCAATTTTCGTCCTTCATCTCGAATGCAACAACCTCCTCTTTGCTATGAGACTCTTTGATGTAAGCCGAGCTCAGGAACGAAGTATCGGCAGCTACTGGATTGAACCACCCCACAAGTCTCTTACCACATCGAGCTGCCATGACTACGCCACTGATGCCGCTTTTATCTATAGCCAGGCTCATGTACGGGTGGACACTCCAAATCTCCGTTGGGCCAGCTGCTTGTATCGTGGGGTGGGGCCACAAGTATTCACCAAACCAGGGTTTGAAACGTAGCCCTCCCCCAATTCCTGCCATCAAATCGCCTTCAGTGTTATCGACGCCTTGATGTCTGATTGGAAGATCGACGACGGCGATTTGTCCTAGTTCCTTTGGATCGTCCGTAGCACGTATGAGAGGTAGCGCTAATACCGAAGTAGAACCGAGAACACCGATTAGTCTGTGAGGTGCTGAGCATGTATTGAACATCTTGCGACGGCCGTTGTACATTGCTGCAAGCACGTATATTATGTGAGCACGGCTGACCCTACCATCGCTTCTCAAATAGTGACCAAGCTGGGTGCACAATGCCAGGAGAGTCGTGCAGTCTGTACTCCATATGCTGTGAAATGAAGATCGAGATTCGACCAATTCGAATGACAAGACTTGTTTCAACAATTGATAGTAGAAACCAAGAAGAAAAGCCTGGTATTTGAAGAAGATGGTCTCATGAGCTTTATGGGATGACGAGGACCTGCAGTCATCCTGTAGTCGGTGGTCGTTCGCTTGATCAATCGCCGCGGACGAGCTTTCTATCCGCAGTAGGTAGTCGTTTGCAACGTGGCTCTGGAGCCATCGTAAGCTCTCTGTCGACTCTCCTTCAAGGATCCACTCAAGGGTCTTTTGTATTTGGTTGCTGTCTGTGGGAAAGCCTTGGTCGGCAAGCATGCCAATGTGCGGAGCGGACTGAAAAGACGCTCGTGCATCAACAGGTACCTCGAGGGTGTAGTATACCTCCATTCCAGCATGATACGGTGCGTCCGCCTTCGCGATCAAAGTCAAACTATCAGCAGCTTCCGAACCGCATTGCCATGCATGAAACATCATGTTCTCCAATGGAGTTCCGACCCCAAGCGAGTGGATCATTGACTGAGGCTTGTCCTGAGGCCAGGATATAAGGTAGGGCTCGGTACGTGTTTCGTCCGCAGCTAAACCTAGGTCGACTTTCTGTGACCCAATCAAATGACCTTGGGGATGATATGTAATGCAGGCTTGCGATTCATGCGAAGGGTTTCCGTCAGTGCACAAGTCGAGCTTTACCTCTCTCCAAGCCTCAGCCAAGGAAAATGTAATTGGAGACAAGACATTGCATACTGACATGTCCCCATTGAAAAGCCAAACAAGCATGTTCTCCGCGTCTTGTGTTTCCGCGTCATTCAGCTGGGGAACTGGGCTGAGAGGCCCCTGACCGACGGGGTTTTCCGACCAACTCTGACGCATTTTCCGCTTGATTGCGAATGCTATCTCTCTGGTGCACCCGAAAGATCTCCACGACTCGACAAGTTTCTTCAAGTGGAAGCTCATAAAGGGCGACATGTCGACGTGGCGATCTACTATCGTGTTGAACACACGAAAAAGAAGGTCCTGAAGTCCTGAAGAGGGCATACACTCGTCCAATGCCGAAACAATTGCCACCATGACCCAAGTGAAGCTGTCCCACTTGTCCGGCGCCTCCTCATGGGGTTGTTTTTCGATCCGACTATTGTGTTGAACAAATCTCAAGCTTGGCCATCTCCTTTCCATTTCAATTACGTCCACAAGACCGGGCCTTCTGACGAGGGAGTCGTTCCTGTCGTCCTTGTGCTGGAAAAGATCAATATCCCATTCTCCCCTTTGGAATCGATTCCGACTAGTGGCCCTAGCGTGAGCAAAGCTGCCAATTTTCGTGCCTTGATCAATAAGCAAAGCCAGATCTGACATCGATAGATCCAACTGCATCAAGCCATTGGTACCTGCAACGATTGATGCAATGTCGGTTGGTTTGCTAGCGAAAGACATGTCAGTGGACTTAGTCTGCGAAGTTTGAGCAATGGATAAGGTAGGCTCGCGCTGATCTGCAGGCAGCGGGCTAATATTCAACAAAGAGGTGTTCGTGACCCTGTGCCCAGGCTGCACAGCTCGTATTGCGGGCAAAAGGTCATGCAAATCCTCGATAGCTGTGTGAAGACGGTGCACAATCATGGATAGGCCCGAGTTGGGGTCGACCATTGCGTTCTCGGAATTTGGTTCTAACGTTTGCGCCGTAGCATCTTGAACCTCGTGTAGTGAGGATGTATGGCTGATGTTACTCCCGAGGGCTTCGTCCGGTTGGTAAGATGACTTTGTTCCCATTTTGCGGTTGTTTATGAACGCAGCTGCCTCCCTGACAGCGAGCGGCGTAGAGCCAAGGATATCTAAAAGTCGTAAAGCTTGGTCTCTATACGCTAGAGAGCCCAGTTGCTTCCCAACACTAGCCAATGCCTCATCTGTGTTCATTACTGCAACTTCGATAATCGCGTTGCTTGAAAGCAGGTCCTTGAGTCCTTGTGTGACCTCCCGGCCTCGGGATGTAACAAGTATTGACCCATTGGGGACTTGTGGGAGAAAGTTAGAAAGTAGACGCCAGCGTAAGTGCGAGCTGGCTGGGGTATGTTCTTGCAATGGACGGCGAGAGAAGAACACGTCTATATCATCAGCACCATCCACCAACATGGTCCACTGTCTAGTTTTGGAACCATCGCACAGCCAGCTCCGGACGAGTGACATGATGTCAACCCTAGGATTGTCGTAGTGTTTCATTTTTACTACGTTGGCAATCGCGCAGTAATCTTCTTCGAAAGTAGCTCGCGTCGCTGCGTTGATCCAAAAGATCCATCTCGATGGCATCTGCTCACGGACTAGGTAGGCGTATTCGATGGCGATTTGTGTCTTTCTGGACTTCAAATCAGTCATTTGTGACATAATAAAGACAGTAGTATTTACCCAACACCTCGAGGGCCAAGCAGGGTTGCAGAACCAGCAGGCTGAGAGCATCTGTGACACACCTCCGCTAGATAATCGCGGTCGATGAAAGCTCCATTACGCGGAAAGGGAACGGTCCATGGACGCGGCGGACATGGCTTCGTCGACGCTTTACTTTTCAGTGAACGTTCTGCTTTTCTCCGCAACCGTGTCAGTGCCGCCTCACGTCCCTCGCCGTACAGAAGCGACATGTGGATGCCCAATAAACCTAGAAGAGAGTATGCCGCATCCTCCTCTCTTTTCGTTTGACGTCCCTCCATCCATGACATGCGTTCGTCAATGCTATATTGTGACAGCGAACAGCCTTGGAGTGCTGGGACTGGCACCTTTGTCCTAAAGTGGAGAGCCTCCAGCAGTGTGACCTTGTCTCCAAGACGCGCGCCAGTCCCCGAGAAAAACTCGACAAATTTTGGCGCAAGCAGTTCTTGCAGCGTCCATCCCCGCTGGAACCATCTGCTGCTGTGGAACATGTGTGCCCATTGTCTCTGAGTGATATCCTTGACCGGGCCCTCGACGGTTACATCGGATAGGAGGACATAGCATTTCTCCGCCTGCTTGTACCACTTAAACATAGAATTAAGTGCTTCCGTCAATTCGGTGCTACTGTTCTTGTCAATGCAGCATGTGTCAACCCAGAAAAATTCGAGACCGTCTTTCGTAGCCTGTTCTGAGCAAAAGATGAGCTTGCTATATCCAGGAATACTTTTCGCCTGGTGTTCTTGTAATTGCGAGAACGTGACTTCATCCTCGTTGGAACCCCAGGTATGCGAGAGGATGGCGTAAGGCGGGATTTTCTCGCCGAATCGCTCAACCAAGTCGAATTGGTCGGACCCCGGCAGGCGATGGAGTAACCGCATAACAGCAGTAGCCTCGCAACATGCAAAACAAGTGGTACCAACAAAAGAATGAAATGAAATATTGTGGGAGAAGGAGCCGTAGAGCGCTTGCTGTGAAGAGGGTGAGACAGGCGAGATAAGAGTGCAACGAAGCGCGGCGGCCAGGGACTCGCTTCGCTGCAGCGGAACAGGTGTTGGAGTCACGCCTGAAGGCGGCTTGGAGACTCGTTACTCATTGGTGCAGCTGTGGTCCTCTCAACACGGTAAGGCTTCGTGGTGCAAGGCTGTGCAGCGACGATGGCTGGGTAAACGGCCAGCAAGCCTATCAACAGACTTCATCGTAATGTCGGAATTAATGCATATCCACCTAAAGAACACGATGATGAATCTGGCGAGTCAAGTGAAGATGGAGGGTCGGAATGTTGTGATAACAGATAGTTTTAGGACGAGAACCGGGCCCCGGGGAGTGGTGACCTTGACGCGCACGACGCGCTCGATCTAGCGCACGGACGCTAATCCCACTTCGGCCCACTTGGGACGCACTTTCCGGTGACGCTGGAATCCATCAAGCACAGCCACATCATGTTTGCGTGGGAATGAGCTTACAAGCGATCGTGCCGACTTCAAAGAAGATGTATCACCAGACAATGACTGCAGACAACATTCCAAACTCCGCCAACGTGATGACCAGTGGAGAAGGAGAGGTGAGGTGAGAGATACTTGAGGATGGCAGCACTGTCACTGTTCATTCATTGTGGGTTGACTCATACGTCTTTTACCACACCCGAAAGTTGAGAGTTTTCAGGATAGTGTTCAACGTGAGGCTGACGACTGTTTGTTGAGAACCCTGGCGCAGGGCGCACAACGAGGCACACACAAAGTACATGCTACATCAATGTACACTCGACCGTGAGCTTTTGGTATGGAAAGATGCTTTTGCTGTGGTATCGAAATCATGTCCGTAATCTACCATAAGTGAGACGCCAAACTCCGTGACCTTGTGGGAAGATCGTCCAAAGAATGCCGAACAGTCCAGTTATATCGCGGGAGATACAAATTGCCAGTCCTACTCGTCAACATCCATAGCCTCAACGCCGCCACCAACCTTCCTCTTCAGCATCTTCTTCGTCTTGGTCTTCTGCTTGGGCAGCTCCTCCTCGAGCTCACTGAGCTCGCTCTCCTCAGCCTCAAGCTCCTTCCTCCTAGCCGCGACCTTCTCCTTGACCTTCTGCACATCAACCTCCATCTCCTCCTGCTCAACCTCCTCCTTGGCGAACCTCTCGCTCGGCGGCAGCAAGTGCTGGTTCTCCTCAACCAACTTCCTGTCCTCCTCACGCTGCCTCTGCTTGTTGCCACGCATGCGCGCCTTGTAGAATGCGCGCTCTCTCCTCTGCCGGATCTCGGATACACGGCCCATGGCCTTGAGGGTGGTTTGGATGAGGTCGCGGTTGTATCGCACGGGCACGTTGCGGCGCTGGGCGAAGGTGAGGGTTGAGTCGACAGTCATTTCCTTGTTGTGCGCGCGGCGGAAGGATTTGGTCCAGGCCAGCTTGCGGGGGTTGCGCTTCATTTTGAAGTTCTTGTGGCATTTGCTCTTGCAGAATCGGAAGGCCTTTGCATCGTTGCGCACTGATGAGTCAGCAGGGATTTCTTTGAGGTGTAATTGTTTATGCATACCAAAGGTTATACCCTTGGACGGGTACACCGGCGAAGAGCAGAAGTAGCAAGTCTCGATTCTCATGTTATCGTCGTGGCGCGAATGCGATCGCGCTCGTTCTTGTCGTGGTTAGGTATGCGCCTTTTCGCGTCGCGGTAGTCGGCAGCACGGGCTGATATCGGGATATATAGAATCGACCACGCTTCACTTAGTTGGCGGTGGTGAGGCGGGTGTTGTGTAAAGGTGTGGAGGTTGAGGTTCGAGAAGTTCGCCGGCTCGAAATTTTGGGTGGCCCGTGCATGCCAACCCACCTGCCATTCTGGCCCGCCAATTGCGATGCTTCTCGACCGAGGCACCTCCGCAAATTTCCTTCTGACCACCTCGCCGCCGCCATTCATCTAAGCATCGCCATCTGACGTATCTCGTGCTCGCATCGCGACTTCTACCCTGCCGGAACTCGTAAGCCAATATCGCATAGTTGAGCTCGGAAAGTGCGACAAGATGTCTGCTTGGGTTTGGATATTGGGCGCAGGTGCCACTGCTTTCTTCGTACGGCTTCCAATTCACTTAGTCATGTTTCCGGGTAGACTGTATTGGGAACTGTCGGAACATGATATCTGATAAACAGGTATACTGACGGGTATGAATAGGGTCGCGCAGCACTCGTGGCATTACGGAGATCAGGCGGTGGAGCCGGAGCGCTAGGACGCGGATACTACAAAGGCGGCTTTGAGCCCAAGATGACACGGAGAGAAGCTGCTCTCATACTAGAGATGCCGTACGTCTCCCGCATATATTACCCTCTACGAAGAGCCTTATGAACTGACGATTCTCAGCGAACGCGGCATTACCAAAGAACTATTACGAAAGAAGCACCGATCGCTTATGCTTCTCAACCATCCCGATCGCGGCGGTAGCCCCTACCTTGCCACCAAGGTCAACGAAGCGAAGGAACTACTCGAGAAGGAGGTCAAGGGATAATTCCATGGGCAAGAGGTGGATGATGTGTATACCAAGACTTTGTACTATATCACGGCATGATTCTCAGCATCAGCATGGCGTTGGACTGAATATGATTAGCGATTTACGACTCTCAATATTGTTTTGTTCTGTCCATGTTGTATGAACATGGTGAACCCCAACTTTGCTGACTGTGACGGATAGGTGTACCTCTTCACATTTCATTACAGTCGTGAAGAGGCGCGCGATGAATACGGCAACGACGCTGACGAGGGACATGACGACTTCATCGAGAAACTCAAAGACAGGGAGCAAACGGTGCGGAACAGGATCGCGTACGTTAAGGAGGAATACACATACGATCACGAGCAAGAATCGAAGTCCGAGCCAGAAGCGGGATCTGGGAATGAGCAAGAACGAGAGCCTGCGGTGGAGGTATCGTCGGATATGGAACTTGATTCGGATAGTGATTAGGATGGTAGGTACTGGAATTGGAAAATCAGCTCGCACAAGAAGAACGCTGGACCGGTTTGCAGACTACATCAAAACAGAAACTTACAAAATAGGTGACCTAACGTCAACGTACGCTCTAGGGTGTTTAGCATTTTCCTGGATTGGTGTAAACTTCTCTATCCCGTTTGTCTTTTCGCATGTGAATCGCATGAAATGAGGAAGCTGGGGGTAGCTCGTCATGTAATGTAGTGTTGGAGAATGTGAAGAAGTGTGGAAAGTTGGGCCAGAGTTCGGAAGCGCTCATGATAGCCCGCCTTGAGAACTTCACTAAGCTAGCGCTGGTGTCATTTGATGGTATATACAAAGCGCGAAGAAACACCTCAGTCATTACCCTTGCACCCATTCGTCCATCCACCCGCCGCCTTGACAATCTTGTTGTTCGCCCAACATCTCGCACGTACCCAAATCGGCGTACTAAACGTCGCATACCACTCGTGCCCATCATGATCAGCCGGATTGTCAAAGTACTCGAACTTCCAAAAGGATGTACCAAGACCATAGCAGCCATTCATGTTAGGCCGAAGAGTATCTTTTCCGTAATCCCAGGTCGAGAAGCCAGCACCCTCGACCTTGTAGCGTCCGTGAGTCCCCTTATACCAGCCCTCGCAGCGACCATATGGCGCTTTTGGCGGCGGCCACGGGCGGTTACTGCGGCGGGGGTTGAGCTCGTACTTGTAGTCTCCGCCGCTGCGAATGTATCTACCACCACCCTTCCAGTTCATGGGGTTGTCGGATGTGTCGCATGAGTTCATGATCTTCTTCATTGAGTCCACGCACTCGTCCTTGTCGAATCCCGAAACACCATTGCTGAGGGTGACGACGTAGTCGTGCTGTTCTGGTGTGCCTTCGTCGTAGGTCTTGGAGTAACTCCAGTTGATCTTATTTTTGTCATGCTTATCTTGAACTTCCTTGCAGAACTCTTCGTAGTTCTCATTGGTGCGGTTGCCACTGACGTAGAATTTGCTCCCTGTCTTGGAAAAACATGTGAATTCGTCTTTGACCGCGGTGCAGGCAGGTGAGTCGGCGCCCAGAACGATGGCGCGCAGGTCCATGAGTTCTGAGAGAGCGAAGGAAGCTATGGTCAGGTGGCCGGCTTCGTTGGGATGGAACTGCGAATGTCAGTCAAGGAAACTTGGCATATTTGTGACTAGATGCAGCTAGTACTTACGTTACGGCCAATCGTGTCGGGCATGCCCATGCCAAAGGTCATATCAAAGCCACCATCCCCAGGGCAGCCTGGTGGTGAGGGAGCCCGGGCGTCAAGCTTGTGCTTGACGGCAGCACGTGGATCAGGTGACTTGTAAAGGATGGAGTCGTAGAGAGTACGTTCGAGGTTTCGATCGCGAGCCTCCATCATCGCTTTGATGCGATTCACCTGGCGTTTCTCCGAGTTGGAGAGCCTGGTCGAGTTTAGTATCTCCTCGAGATCCATGTCGCGCTTGCGTAGCTCCGACCGCTCAAAATCATTTTGCCATTCATCCCAAGGGTGCGTGTCGGGCTTGATGAAGTGCATGTTCGGTTGCTTTGGATCTGGATAGTCGCCATTGCTACTCGGCGAGCACATTCGGGCGTCCACCTCATTCGAGACCCAGTAATCCCAATCAGCGTAGCCAACCTTGTACTTGATCTTGTCACTCTTGGCGGCTTTGTCAACGGCGTCGCGAATCGCCTGGTTGATGTCAAGCACCAGCTGATTGAAGACGTGGCGACGTTCGATAGTGAGAGCTCGGTACGAGGAACCCAATGGGAGGAACCAGAAGAAGTCCCACGACTGGCGATCGCAGTTGTCTTCCTGAGTGTCGAAGAATTGAGCATAACTGTTCACGACGACGATACCGTCCTCGTTCATCTTCTCGTCGAGGGCTTCCAGAATCTGAAAGATGTTGTCGGTGATAATATTCTTGGCATTTTCCTGGGCCTTTGCGATGACGGTCTCGCAGGCGGATGTCTTGCCGTAGGGCAGCATGATGCAATCTGCAATCATCTTGGCGAGACAAAGGTCGTTTCCGCCGGAAGTGAAAGTGACAAAGTCGAGCTTGCCCTCTAGGGCCTGCGCCTGCTGGTAGATTTGTTCAGAACGATCGCCGCTGCAGGCGAGGTATTGGAAGCCGCCGTCCTTTTCGATGTGGGCACCAAACTGTGCCTCTATGACCTTGGGGTATGCCATGTCATATCTGGAACACTTCCAGTTGTCTCGAACCTCTTCCAGCCCACTAGGCACTCTGATAGCTACCTCGTCCGCAGTGATCCTGTGGCCGAGAGGTCTTCCAGCACCGATGCCGGCTGTGTAGCTATCGCCAATGGCTGCCCAGCGTTTGATCCACTCCATACTGCTTGGATCATCATCCCGCTTGCGAAGAATAGGCGGTGTCGGTGAGGATGACGAGTTGACAGATGAGGCAGCTTCTGAACGTTGATATAGTCTTGCGCTTCTGGCATGTCTTCCATGGTGTGCGTGGTGTGCAACGTAGCCATTCGTCGAGCTGATCAGGACCGAGAGGCCCAAGATCAACTTGATAATCATGTCGGTTGGTGTCACCGGACTAAACGAGAGACATGAATGAAGAGTGAGCGTGAGGCGTAGGGCGAATGACCAACGTTGCGAGCGTGTGAACTAGGCCCATAGACTATGAACAAGCAAGCGAAGCTTCGGAAGAAACGGGAGAAGACTCAGCCAAAGGCGGTTGATGATCAGGCGTCCAGATGTCGAGATGCCCTCTCGCCGCCTCAACGCAGCACCAGGATTCTCAGCCAAAACCGGACTATGAATATCGTCAATGAAATCACCCCGGTAGTCTGCAGGGTGACATTTCGGTTTCGAGGACTAGATGAATGTTCCCGTCTGATATGGGGGCGAAAAGCCTAAGTCGGATGAGGCAGGCAACACTGTATGTACGCGATGCTACCCAAGACAAAGTGTCTTTGGTGGAGACCTACCCAGGTACCATCAGCGTATCGGCCTGACAATGGTAGAATCCCATCCAGGTACGTACGAATCCACCACTCACGAGCCAGCTCATTTGCGTTCACAGCCTAGGCGCATGCTGCAGGGCGTACCTGCATCAACGAGATAGTGTCGGGGGTCGCTGATTGAGGTTAAGACGATGGAGGTGCTCGGCGGCTAAATGCAGGGCGGAATTTAGTGGCGTCCCGGCTCGGCAGGGTCCTCGCGTTGACCCACCTCGACAAACTCAACCTCATCCTTCGTTCATCTTGGCACATACATCGCGCCGGAGCTGACACTACAGCAAATGAGTTTCTTATTGATTTCGCCTTGCTCGCCTACGGGCCTGGCGGCAGGTTTGCCAGGCCGCCCCTGATGACCGCAGCTGTGAGCCAGGTACGGGACGGGAATTGGCGCTGCGCGCCGCTCGATCATCGTCCGGCCGTGGATGTCTCGTCCCACTCGGTATCACTACGCTCTTCGTCAAGCTGTCTTTCTCGCTGGGGACATTGATCGCGCTTTTCTTGTTTCTTGAAACTTGTTGTACAAACACTCATTCCACATCATCATGACACCCAGAGGTGTTTCATTCAAGGGCCTGGCCCTCAGCCTGGGCCTCCTTCTGACTGCGGAAGCACTTGATCTGGGCTCTTTCGGCGGACAAGCGGAAGTCAGGCTACTCATGGAAAACGTTGCTGGCCAGGAAACCACGCCTGAGGCTAGAGAGATGCTTATCAAAGCAAATGAGAAGCCGGACTACACATGCACTGCAACTAAGTCATGTGACCTTGGATGCTGCGGACCTCTGTAAGTCGGCGATATGAGCATGTACAATCGGCCATGATGTTAATGACAGTCGTCAGCGATGACACCGGTACTGGTGCCTGTGGTTTTGGTCCCGTCTTCTGCGGCGACAAATGCACCAGCGATTGTAGTCGTAAATCTGAATGCGATCCCGGCACCTGGGGTCTCCAGTATGCGAACCTCACTACTTGCCCACTCAACGTGTGCTGTAGTGAGCATGGCTTCTGTGGCACGACGGTTGACTTCTGCGGCCCCAATCCTGTGCCGCATCCTCAGTGCGACCTCTCGCAGCGGAGTGCCGACGCGCGCACCATCGGCTACTACGAGGGCTGGAACTTCCAGCGCCCTTGTGGTAACATGGAGCCTGAGGACATTCCGCTGGGCCACTGGACGCACATCAACTTTGCCTTTGCTCTTATCAACCCCAAAACGTTCCACATCGAGGACATGGATCCAGGTACCGGATCACGTTACGGTCGTGTCGCAGCCCTCAAGGAGAGACAGCCTGGCCTCAAGATCTGGATTGCTGTTGGAGGCTGGGCTATGAACGATCCCGGCCCGTACCGGACTGCCTTCTCCGACATGGCCGCCAGCGAAGCAAACCAAGACAAGTTCTTCGACTCACTGTTGACATTCATGAGGCGATATAACCTAGATGGCGTTGATCTGGACTGGGAGTAGTAAGTGACAACCTCTCATCATATCTGGCAGCTAAGCTGACACACGCGCTTTAGTCCTGTGGCTGAGGATCGAGGCGGCATACCCGAAGACTTCGACAACTACGTCAATCTTCTGCGGAGGCTTCGAGAGCGCTTGAACTCGTCAGGTCGGGAATACGGCATCAGCCTGACTCTTGTGAGTAGCAACCAGTTCCTGCTATACTTTTTTATTGTTGCATCGCGACTGACCCCAATAGCCTGCCTCTTACTGGTATCTCCGTGGCTTCAACCTCCAAGGCATGGAGCCATATCTCGACTGGTTCAACATGATGACGTATGACATCCACGGTGTCTGGGACGCCAGCATCGACAGTCTCGGCCCTATCGCCCAGGCTCACACAAACTTGACGGAAATCAAGATGGGTCTCGAACTTTTGTGGCGCAACAACATCAATCCAGAGCGTGTTGTATTGGGTCTCGGGTTCTATGGCCGCAGCTTCACGATGAAGGACCCTGGTTGCATGACGGCTGGCTGTGAGTTTAGCGATGGCGCT